ATAGTCCAACTTTTTAAAACAGAATGTTCTTTTTTTTTGGCCATGTGTTACATCATATGGGATGTTAGTTCCCCAACCAGGAATTGAACCTACACCCCATCCCCTACATTGAAAGGCAAAGTCTTAACCACTGGACTGCCAAGGAAGTCTGAAAAGAGAATGTCATTTATTATCTATCTGTCTATGTTTTTATCAGTGGGCACTTATTAATTCTTATTTTTTCAATGGTTTATCATGCAATGCTATGTTTAAATTATTTTGGCCTCAAACTGTACCAGATTTAACTGGTAGGAATCTCTTCAAGGTGCTTCCTGTGTCCTTGTGAATACCCCTCATCATTTTTTGTTTTTCAAGAATTTCTTTGCTTTCTGGCAAAATGTTCCAAGTTCATCATGTACCTTCCTTGTCCCAGCTCTGGAATTGGCCAATTCCTTGAAGAACTCTTGGAATCAGAGATCAAGATTTGAGTGTCAGGTGCTCGTTGTTACTGGGGAGTCTTGGCTCCTGGGACCTTTCAGTAGACAAAGCTAGAAAATATACATGTATTTATATACATACATGGGCTTCCCCGGTGGCTCAGAAGTAAAGAATCTGTCTGCCAATGAAGGAGACACGGGTTTGATCTCTGAGTCAGGAAGATCCCCTGGAGAAGGAAATGGCAACCCATTTCAGTATTCTTGCCTGGAGAATCCCATGGACAGAAAAAAATGTCCACAAGAATCGATAGGCTACAGTCCATGGGGTCACAAAAGAGTTGGACATGACTTGATGACTAAACAACAACAAATATACGTACATACAGACATAATACCCATATACCTAGTATATATACATACATATGCACGCAAGCTCAGTCGCTCAGTTGTGTCCAGCTCTTTGCAATCCCATGGACTGTAGCCCTCCAGGCTCCTCTGTCCATGGAATTTTTCAGGCAAGAATACTGGAGTGCTTGCCATTTTCTCCTCCAGGGGATCTTCCTAACCCAGAGTTGGAACCTGCATCCCCTGCATTAGCAGGTGGATGCTTCACCACTGCACCGCCTGACAAGCCTATACATCCATGTACACAAATACATATACATGCATATATATTCATGTGCACGTGTGTATATACATGTATGTGTATACATACGTGTGCATGTGTGTATGTATGCATAAAATCATGGTTAACCTGATGTCTCTAATTTCAATCCACCCCCACAGGGTTCCTTCCTGCCTTTCCCAGTTCACATTTTGATGTCTGTTGACTGAACAGCATCCCTGGTAGCTCAGACAGTAAAGTGTCTGCCTAAAATGTGGAAGACCTGGGTTCAATCCCTAGGTAGAGAAGATCCCCTGGAGAAGGAAATGGCAACCACACCAGTATTCTTGCCTGAAGAATTCCCATGGACAGAGGAGCCTGGCGGGCTACAGTCCATGTGGTCGCAGGACACAACTGAGTGACTTCACTTTCCCGTATGGAATTTCTCACTCCCAACTACATTAGCACATTCCTTCATTTGCCCAACACCACAGTACATCTAAAATAGTTTCAAAAGTGCTTGACATATCTTACCACAAGATAATTAAGAATATATACTAAAACAAGTTCAAGAGTTGGTTGCAGTTCTACCCTCCTCAACCTCAGTCAAGACAGAAGGTAAGTACTCAAGCAACCTGTTCATGAATGACTAGATTCGTTCTTTCTTTTGCTTTTTTCCCCTTCAGTGCGATTGGAATACAACTGGATTCGTTCGTTTTCAGTTTAGATTCTTCTTTCCCTTCCCGTCTTGCTTTAACTTTGTTTCTGAATATGTAGAAGATTAACAGGCTTCCAGAAGTCAAGCTATACAAACAATATTATTCACAGAGAAGTGTCACTCCCTCCTGAATCACTTCCAACCCCTCCCTCCAGTAAGTAATCAAGTTGATTGTTTTCTGATTTCTCTTTCCTGTGTTTCTTTTGGTAACAATAAAGTATACGTATGCTTTATTTCCGCTCCCTTTTCACACAGAAGATGGTGCACTATGTCCTCTTTTATACTTTCCATGCTTTCAGTGAGTATTTCCTAGAAATCATTTGATATTAATAGTTCAGAGCAATTGCCCTATTTTGTGTGGTTTTTTTTTTTTCAAATATAGCTCACAGGATTTCATTGTGTGTATATACCATAGTTTATTCAACCCATCTCCTATGCTTGGAGATATGGGTAGTTTCCAGCATTTTACAATTACAAATAACACTGCAGTGAACAACTTTGTGTGTATTTATTTTCATACCATTGAGGTGCAACTTCAATGGGAAATTCCTCAAAGTTGAATTTCTGTGATCAAGAGAACAAGCACGCATAGTTTTGTTAAATTTTGCCAAATTCTGCTTCACAGGGGTGGTACCATCTTGGATTTCTGCGAACAGTAAATGAAAAAACCTAGTTTCCTAGAGTCTCATCAACAGAGTATATTGTCAGGCTTTTCAGTTTTGTCAGTCTGACAGATAAGAAATGATTTTCTTGCAGTTTTAATCTACATGACTCCTACAATAAATGAAGTTGAACATCTTTTCATGTATTTAGGGCCATTTATATGTCTCTTTTTGTGCCTTGCCTGGCTCTGAATTTTGCCAGTTTTTCCATTGGAATTTTGGCCATTTTCTTTCCTTAATTTTTATAATTTTTTCTATATATTAGGGTTATTAGTCTTTTATCTGTCATATGTATTACAGATATCTTCTCCCAGTTTGTTTTTTATTTTGTTTATGGTGATTTTTGCCATGACATTTGTTTTATTTTTCAGTGTAGTCAAACCCATCTTTTCTTATAGCTATATTTTTAGACATAGTTAGAAAGCCTGGTGGCTCAGACAGTAAAGAATCTGCATGCAACACAGGAGACCCAGGTTAGATCCCTGGGTCAGGAAAATCCCCTGGAGGAGGAAATGGCAGCCCATCCCAATATTCTTGCCTGGAGAACTCCATGGGCAGAGGAGGCTGGCGGGCTACAGTCTAAGGAGTCACAAAGAGTTGGACACGACTGAGCACACACACACAATGCCCCCCCTGAGCTCTTTCTTTCCAATGTTTTCCTAGCTAGTCTCATACATTTATTTTTCCCATAGGAATTTAATAGCAATCCGTCTTGCTCTTTTTAAATGCTCCTTGGTATTTGTATCAGGGTTCCATTAAATTTATAAATTAACTTAGAGAGACCTGACATCTTGATCAAATGGAGATGTGCCAAGGACAAGGCGTGTTATTCCTTTGGTTCAAGTTATTGCTACTTTTAGAACTGATGTTTTCTCTCGGACATTTCCTTAGGTATCAGTCCATTCAACAAAATAATATTTGTTGAGCAGCTATTATACCTTTAGCACTATATTAAGCACAATAGAAGCAAAGAAGTAGGTTCTGTCCTTTAGCAGCTTAGAATTTCATGAGCGAGATGGGCTAACATTCCTGAAACAAAGCAAGCAGTGTGAGAGCCCGTGGAAGAAAGCCCCCTATAGCACAGCGAGACCATCCATGCAATGCACGCTCTGAGGGCAAGCAGAGAAATGACGGCTAGAATAACAAGGCAAGACTTTGGACTGAATTTAGGGTGGAATCATATGCCCTGAAAGTCCTGTAGGACTTAGGTGGGGTGACAGGAAGAAGAAGGAATCTCAGTGAGGGGTACCTAGGTAAAAGCTCAGAGGTGGAATAAGCCGGACCCGTGACTGGAAAACACTCTTCAAGCCTCAGTGTTAACAGCTCCAATCCTCCCTGTGTACTTATTAAAATAACATTCGTGAACATCCACTAGTTTCTTAGTTCTTTAGAGTGCTCATTTCCGTCCATCATGACTTCTCTGGGGATGCTCCAGAGCTGAGCTGTCCAATAGCTACCAAGCTCTCTCGGCCCTTGGAGGAGTGCAACTGAGGCACTGGATTTCTAATTTTATTTCATTTTAATTGACATTTAAAAAGGGAAGCAGGACTTCCATGGTGGTCCAGTGGTTAAGAATCTGCTTGCCAATGGAGGGGACGCAGTTTCCATCCCTGGTCCCAGGAGATCCCACATGCCGCAGAGCAGCTACGCCTGTGCACCACAACTGCTGAGCCCGAGCTCTGGAACCCACGATCCACAACTACTGAGCCATAAGCCCTAGAGCCTGTGCTCTGCAACGAGAGAGGCCATGGCAACGAGAAGCCCGCATACTGCAACTAGCGAGTAGCGCCCACTTGCCACAACTAGAGAAAGCCCATGTGCAGCAACGAAGCCCCAGCACGATAAATAAAATAATATTTTTAATAGAAGCTCCTAAATCCTCATTATGTACTTATTAAAATAGCGAACTAGTCTAAATGAACTAGAACCCTTACTAGTGTAGATGACTTTTCCATTGGACTCAACTTTATTGTTTGAGGGAGGCCTGCATTTGACATCAACAACAGCACTGCAAAAAATATCACTGTTAGATTGCAGTGTGTGTCTCAGTTTTATTATTTTTTTTTTAATGTGGCTACTGGGAAAGTTTAAATTACATCTGTGGCTCATATCTCACTTCTCTTGGACAGCACTGGCCTAGGGTCTTACAACCCTGTGAGGGCTGGTCAGTGTCCCATGGGAGCCATTCCCAACTTTCAGAAGCTGATCGTTTACTAAGATGCCCAGGTGATTCTTATGCAAAGCAATAAAAGCATAAGATCTGGAGGACACAAAAGACATGCTGGCCTCTGGGCGGTAACCCCAGAGTGGCCCCAGTCCTTCTGAGGGTGGGGGCAGGAGGCAGAGTGAACGGCAGGGTGCCCCCGGCCTGCCACTGTGATGTCACAGAGGCAGCCTCCTGGGTCGGCCAGCCCCACCCCAGCGTGTCCTGGCTGCAGGATAACCTCTCCATCCTCTCCAGCCTACCTCATACCACCTGACCCCTCTGCCGGCAAGAGGGGCTCTGATTCATCTTCACAGTCAAGGCTCATCCCACGCAACCAACTAAGACATAGTAGAAGAAACACTGAAACCCCTCTGCCTCATAACTTCAAAAGTGAATGAGCAATTCCTCTCAGCTGATTCAAAATGTTTGTCTCACCCAGAAGGTAGGTACCTTAAATTTTGAAATCTCATGACTATCTCATGTGTAGTCCCCTTATTATTGGATGTGTAATATGGGTTATACAAACTCATCACAAGGAGCTTGAGAACACTCGGTAGGATTACCCGAAATGGAGTAAAAATGTGTTACTTGAGCCCAGTTTTTATTGATAAACTCAGTGATGGCCCTACCTTGGCCTCTTGTTCTTTCATCATATTCCATTAAAACTTCCATTTCTTCCTCCTTTGCCTCTTATCACACCTTTCCTCTGCTCCCAGTGCAGCTTAATGTCTTCTAGGTCTTTTTTCCCTCTCTATCTGTATGATTTCTACTACAAAATCTAGTCCCTGGAAAAGGCCCAATGGCACGGAAGTGATAGCAGTGATAAACTGTCCATCACTCCAGCGAACTGAAAGAGATGCTGAGGCATTCCCATGACCAACTCCAATCCGAAATCTGCCGGAACTAAGAAAGGACAGCACAATCTTAGGCTCTTTCTGGTCTCAGAATCTGCAGAGACACTTCCAGACCCAGAAAGACACTCACAGCCAACAAAGACATCTTGGCTTGTTTAGTGGAGAAGACACATCTGGAAGAGACTTGCCTTCCATTTTGAGACAGTTGGCAACTCCCAACTTGCAGCTCACAGGGTTACTAAAAAGAAAAAAAAAAAAAGATGTTCATTCTCCTATATCTTACGTTTCCCAGGGGAGAAAAATGAAACTTACGATTAGCTTGAGAAATAACATACACACACACAGACACACACACAGAGCAATGTGGTGTGCTGTTTATGGGCTGGAAGTTAGAGATCTCAGAAGAAAGAAGTTTCTTAAAAAAAAAAAAAAAAGACATCTGGAGCCTCAGAGAAGAGCTCACAGTTCTGAAGAACCACTAGATTATTGGGCTCAATCCACTTTCCTGGTTCAGAATCTCCCTAAGTGATTAAATCATAAATAGGCCAACCCTCGGAAGTGAATACAGCTAGGACTAGCCGTAGTGAAAAAAAAATTTTTTTATTGGTTTACGAGGAGAGGTACAGAGGAAATGATGGGAGAGTCCGTTTATCAGTATACACCCGTGAAGTTTAAAGGAGGCAATCTGTTGCCTCATTATGAGTGCGCTGTCATAACTGGGCCTCAATCTGTGCCACGGGTAAGGATGACCAGGCCTCGCCTTGACCGAGGGGCGGCCTGGCCTTGACTCAGGAGGTTTCCCAAGTTGACTCTGCGTTTAGGAGAGTGTGGCCTTGAGGAGTCGGTCCTGACTTCTCGAGGTAGTGAGGACTAAACGTCCGTGGAGGGACTGCCAAACCGTCTGGGACAGGGACGGGGTAACCGGGGAGGACAAACTCTCTTTAATTCGCCTCCGAGAAAACAATCGCTCAGGGAGGTTAGGGAACTTGGCCAAAATCTTTAGCTCAGTAGTGGGGTTGGGAGGGACTAGAACTCAGATCTGCTGTGGGTTGGTGGCCCCGAAGTTCCTAAGTTCCGTCTCTCGGCTCCACGAAATGAGTCAGAGACAAGGCCTTTCCGCAGAACAGGAGCCGGAGCGTACCTTTAGGGGAAGGCGGCAGGGGGCGCGGAGACCTTAGACTTGGGTTTCAGCTCCTCCCGACCCTCGGCCCACCGGCTCGTGAGCGCAATTCAGGGGATGAACGGGGATCTCCGCACTCCTTCAGCCCACCCCGCCTGGGAGAACCCTCGGGACGCCGTCCCCGTCCCCCCAGGAAGATGGAGAGGCCCCGGGCGGGGAGCCCCACCCGCTCGGGACATCCCGGCGCTCCGCCGCTGGGCTGGGCCTAGCCAAATGATTCAAAACAAGCTCCAGCGCGTCACCTTGGCAACGCTCTCCCGTTGCTAGGCGACCGGGCGCCGTAGTAAACCGAGGGCGGGCGTGTTACTAGCGGATGGGAGGGGGCCCACGGGAACTAGCCCGGCGCTCGGGCACTGCGACTGCCGGGGGGAAGTCGGGGGGTGGGTGGGGAGGGGGGCAAAGAAGGAAGGGACGGGGTGGGGGGCGCATGCCGGATACAAACGGGTCGCCCCTTGAGAGGCCACTCCCGTTAGGCCCCTGCCCCGCCAGTCTGTCCCCGACACCCCACCACCCCCGCCCTGCCCCAGCAGTCCCTGAGAGCTCCGTCACCCTCTCGTGAGCGATTGCCCCACAGGATGCCCAGATGGGACTGCCCCTCTGATTCACTCCAGCTGCTTGAGGCATGAAAGAAGGCGGCTTCCTCTCCTGGAAATGACTGCATTCGCAAAAGCCCTCAAACAATTCCATTAAAAAGAGGAACGGGAAAAGCCACAGAGAGGAGAGCCCCCGCAAATGATTTTGTTTGGCCCTCCCCACTGCACAGAAGTAGGTGTTCCCAGAACTCGGGACCCATGTTAGGAAGACTGGAGTCCTTTTCTTATTCTGTGAGCATCTGAAGCCATGTGGACATAAAGCATGGTTACATTAGGAATTAACCTGAAGCTGGGAAACCCCAGAGCTCAATGTCCTGTAGTGGCTTTAGTATTTTGGACACTCGACATGGGCATTTTAGTGGTTAGTCTTCCCATTAGGGCTGGGAAGCAGGTATCAAAATGTCCTGAGCCAGCATTGCTAATCGTCCTCAGTAAATGTGTCATGTGTGAGGCATTGAAGTAACGATTGTAATTAGGGCTACAGAACCTCAGAACTTTGGACATTGGAGACCTACCATCCGAAAGGGCTCCAACCAGGAGGGAATCACAGGGCTTGGGAAAGGATATAACATTTCCAGTCTGTCACTGGCTTGTGAGCAATCTGATTGTACCCTAGTCTCTGTGAACTGAAGATAATACTTGCTTATGAGATCACTGCTGTTTTCTGGGCTTGGCGCGTCAAACAGCAGGAATGTTTCCACAGGTGGGAGGAAGCGTATTGGCACAGGGTCTGTTTGATGAAACTCAGGGTGCATCTATGTAGAAAGGCCTAGGGTGTGTCTGTGGACCCTCTTTGCAGCTCCTCCCTGCTCTTTCGTATGTGAAGCAGGAGGATCCCTGTCCCTTTCACCATAGGAGGCTGTTTGGACACTTTTTCAAGATCTTATATTCAGCCATAGTCTTCCTAGCTGTATTTGTGAGCTGGGTTTCCATTACGCACTTCATTCATTCATTCATTCCATTCATTTGTGGCTGTTAGGGCTAGGCTCTGAGGATCAACAAGAATAAGACATAGTTGCTACTGTATTTAGAAAGTTAGTCAAGTGAACAGAACAGCCAAGTAAACCATGTGATGAGTTACAGGAGAGAGGCAGACAGAACAGAGCAGTGTAGACCAGAGTCAGTAACTGAGACATTCACACTGTATTCCAACCTTTCATCTACTTAGTAACAAAAAAGAATTAGTTAATAGGGCCTGGGTCAGAAATCTGACTCCTGGGAGGATAGAGTGTACTATCTGTGTCCCAAACTAAAGGAAATCAACTCTGAATATCATTGGAAGGACTAATGCTGAAGCTGAAGCTCCAATTCTTCGGCCACCTGATGTGATGAGCCGATTAGTTGGATAAGACCCTGAAAGATTGAGGGCAAGAGAAGAAGGGGACAACAGAGGATGAGATGGTTGGTTGGATAGCACCACCCACTCAGTGGACATGAGTTTGAGCAAACTCTGGGAGACAGTGAAGGACAGGGAAGCCTGGCATGCTGTAGTCCATAGGGTGAGTGAGTGAGTGAACAACAACTGTCCCAAACAAACCTTTTTCGGGACAAGATGCCAGAATGGATATATGCGATAATAATAAAAAAAATAAAACCTGGATTCCATAGCCCCAGTCTTGGACCTGAGGGAAGGGCTGTGCTTTACAATCTTCCCTGGTTCAGGGAAGCCTGGTGTGCTACAGTCCGTGGGGTTGCAAAGAGTTGGACACAACTGAGCGACTGAACTGAACTGAACTGGTTCAGCATCTCAGCATTCTTACCCATTGTTTTAATCACTTCTAATCTCCAGAGTAGTCACAAACCAAATTGAATTCCAGTTTACAAAGTATATGTGGGTGTCCCAAGACCAGTTTCTCTTTTTTTCATACCTAGTAAATGTGTTTTTGGACAGTGCAGGGCACAGTGACTGAGGACCTTAGCAGGGATAGGTTGGTCCTAGCCCTTGGCTTTGTGATGTCACAAACGTTCAGTTGCACATACATCCCTGTGGGGGTGTCCTGAGGGGATCAGGGTCCAACAGACCAAAGTTCAGTAATGTTCCGAGACATGGAATCTTCTCGTCTGTGTTGAGTCAGGAGCTTCTGAGCCTAGTCAAATTATATTTATGTGGCATTGACTAGCAATTACTTTAAGAGAAGAAAGAGAAGGAACAAAAAATTAACATGCTCAAATTACAATGAAAGGAAGTGAGTGGGATACTCGGCTCTGATTTTTGTGGTCAAGCAGAGAAACTCATGCTTTGTTAAAAAGAGGAAATTGGACATTGTGGCCCAGGGTCCTTGGGGAGGGGATGGGGTGGGGGGGCGGGGTCTCAATATTGATTGCATCTAGGAGCCAGCCAGTCAAACAAGCATGCACACTAAATGCACAGCCTCCTACGGGTATGAGCATCTTAAGTCACTCATGTCCGACTTTTTACAATCCCATGGCCTTCTGCCCACCAGGCTCCTCTCCCAGACCTAGGCCTTAGTGTTACTTTCTCAGTCGTGTCCAACTCTTTGAGACCCCATGGACTGTAGCCCGCCAGGCCCCTCTGTCCATGGATTTCCCAGGCAAGAATACTGGATTGGGTTGCCATTTCCTTCTCCAGGAGATCTTCCCTATCCAGGGATTAAACCCAGGTCTCCTGCATTGCAGGCCGATTCTTTACTGTCTGAGCCACCAGAGAAGCCCAGAGCTAGGCTTTGGGAAGACCTAAAATAATATAATTTGGGAGACCCTCTTTAAAAAAAAAAAAACAATTTAAATAATAAGTATCTTGGAAGGGGCCTGAGTAAGTGGGGGACCACAAAGCTGAAGTTTCATCAGCTCCACT